ATAATCTATAATTTGATACCAAACTTATTGACATACGTTCATAAAATAATAGTTTAATAAACTTTTGAAAGCAAGTCTACAAACATGACGATATGCTCTTTGACTCCTGACCATAGGGAGACTCGTGCAAAAGGGTTGAGATATGCACAAGTTAATTTAACCCTTTCTGGACTGGAGGGGTGTCAGTAATGTGTACCTCACATTTTATTTTCTCTCAGTGGATACACTTAACCAAGTTGCATGAAACTTAATACAAATTTTAATATAATACCAATTTTTATCTTAAAGAAATTCATATGATTTGATTTAGTATTTCTATGATTTTTTTAGGGTGCAAAATTTCTACACTTTTGTTGTGATATTGTTTTGAGAAAATATTACAAAAACTGAAATTTTAAGACAATAAGAAGTATTTTTTATTCCTGATCAGAAAATTCCTTTTGGTATATTCAGCCAATTTCATATTTCTTTTGATACTTTATTTGGTTTATTGCAGTAGTCACTGCTTCCAGCTAGAACTTCACCTTTAAAAAATTGTGCCACAGTTACTGTTGTCAAACTAGGTAACATGATTTTTGTTAACAATATCTATTGGGTGAGATCAATTTATACCTAACGAATAAAGATTATTTTTAATAAATAATTTATTTTTTGTGTGCATTTCTTTAATATGATATACTTTACAATAATACTCAATAAATAATAATTTGAATCTTTGGAATATTATGACATTGCTTAATGCACTTTGTAAATGTAGCTGAACATACCTGATGTCCTTTTATAGCAGTAAATTTCATAATTTCAAACAGAAGAAATTTATATAATTTTACTTAAACTTCTAAAGAAACTAAAAAAAAATTCCAGATCTGAGGATTATTCCTATACCTTTTTAACTTCACCCTTACAAGAACTCTTGATAGCTAACATCTCAGGAAACCACAACTTATATTCACCATTACTTTATTTAGTCTATATAAATAGAATACAATCTGCTCTGTTCTACATAGTCACTGGCTCTAGGTGTTTTCAGAGCTGAGCTTCATTTGTAACTGTTCAGATCACACCTATGACATAAAAGGCCAGCAAGAAAGAGCTGTAGTAATAAAACCACTAACAGAGAAGGAAAACCATATGAAAAAACAAAATATGGATAATTATATTCTCAAGGAATGATAGTTTTTAGCAAATATAAAACAATGCTTTGAGGTAGCCAGGAAAAATTATAAAAAAATCAATAACTGCAATGTTTAAGACATATAGAAAATACAGTTAATTCTCAGTGCAAAAATATTTGCAGTATTTGATTGCAAAAACTGTTTTTATGAATATCATACTTTTTTCTAGCTTCCCAATGATCTTTTTGAGAAACTAGCTATGGATGTTTATGATGAAGTTGACAGAAGAGAAAATGATGCAAGTAAGAAATATCAATTTATTATTATTTTGTTGTTTTTGTTCTGTTACAGTTTAGAATTGAGATTCTTCATTGTGTAACATTTATCTAATGTAATTGGCAAAGGAAAATAAAAAAATTCAAACTTCATTTCTGCCCATCTCTGAAGAATCTCACCTGTCTGAATTTTAATTAATGTTGTAAATGAGGTTTAGAAGCCACATACTACAATACAATAGCAATTAGTACATATCAAACCACTTAAAAACCCAATGAAGAGAAAAAATACCTCCCTCTTCATTATGCATCTCCTGTGAATTGGATTTCAGTACATTGTAGAAACAAAAAAACCAATAAAAGTTGGAACTTGGGATGTATAATAGACAGGTAAGACTTAATAATACTAATCTATCTGCAATAGACAATAATGACAGAAAAGACAACCATACAATAAATTAGAATAATACTAAAATAATAGGATATGAGCTACACACGAAAGAAAAAGCCTTCTACATTTACCTAACTAATGACACACTCAATCAACCTAGAATAGATAACACCAAAACTTGGAAACCCATTTGAAAACATTCAAATATTTATTTGATTCAAGTAATAATGGAAAAGACAGTGGATAATGTACCAAAATTCCATCAAGAAGACCCACTATCAACACAGAAATACTCATTCTGAGGACTTTCCTGAAGACAGCAGCAGGTTAGAAGATGAAATGTAGGATTAAAACTAATTAGTATTTAGTTTTATATATATATATATATATATATATAAACAATTAATAATTAATTATTAGACTTAGGTATAGGCTACTAACAATGACATCGATAGTTAGGTTTATCCTTATTTTGCTAATTGAATTGAACTACTTAAAGAATATAGCACTATCTACAGGTTTCAACCAACACATTACAGATAGGGCTTTTTTTAAACTTAAAAACAGTATAAAATAAGTATCTTAACTCTAACCTTTCACCTATCAACATAAAACATAGAATATTTGTTTCCTTTATCTTTGTTCCTGAAATTGCTAATAAAATTACTAGCCTATTTAACAATTTATACTGTATACAAACCTTCACATAACATCAACACCTTACTACCTAACCTGAAAAAATCCCTACTAAATGAACAAAAATAAGGCATATATAGCATCCCATATAAATATGGAAAGAAATATATAATCCAAACATCATGTTCCTTAGAAATAAGATGCAAAGAACAACAAGATCACATTTGAAGAGGTGAATTCCAGATATATGATTTAACATATTAATATAAAACAGGTCACAAAATACTTTGGGATGAAATTATTCTCCTACACCAACCCGAAACTAAAATAGAGACTGTTTAGAAACTATAGAAATCATCAAAGTAAACGATCTCTCTCTCACTAAACTGTGATAATGGCCTTCGCAACCTCAGCCATATTTGGCAAGGTCTATTCACTGTTCATACACTTGACCAGACTTGACCTTTACCTATATCCTGTCACCTGCTGACACCACTTCCCTCACATTTAATCCTTACGTGTTTTATCTTTGTAATGATATAAACCTTGTATTGCTTAGTACTGATATTACCTGAAGAAGACAAACCAATGTTCTGTTGAAACATATAGTATGTTCCACTATCAATAAAATTCTTCCTTATGCTTATAAATAATTGTTTGCCAATCTATTACTATATTAGTATAATGTGTTTCATTACTCAAATATACAACATTTATCCTAATACCAAGCATTTAAGTCTAGGTACAACTGATAAAAATACAAGGAAATCTTTTATTTTGAAATGTTTATTTCTTTCATCAAATGATAATAATATAGATAAAGATGATCAACAAAAGTATCTTTTCTTTCAAAACTAACTTATAAAATACCAACAGTTACCTTCAGTAAAATACTTTTCACATTGTTGTTAATGTAAAAGGCACAGAAATTTATCTATATTTCTTGATCATGTACAGGAGTAGTAAAACAAAAATATTTAAATACAAAATACATTAAGTACAGGTGACCATGGTTTACAGACATTTTATATCCTTACAATTATGTGTTTGAGGAATAGAATAAACAATACTACTACAATGGAATTTTCGATAAGCTAAACATTTCTATCACATTTCACACAGTTGCTCACACATTAAAACAAGACAAGATGAATGACAAGTAAGTGATAACATCTGTCACTTTCTATGAATTACTTTAGTTTCAAATATTTTGTAGAAAACATTTTTTTAAGTATCTTTGTTTCACTATATAACTAGGCCAAAGATAAAACAAACACTTAAAAAAATCAAATGAACAAAAATTAGAAATGCTATGAAATACAGCAAATAAACATATGCTTACTTCTTGGAGTTTTTTCTTAGCAGCTTTAGCAACTTCAGATAAGTCAAGGCTGTATAAGCAGAGAAAAAAAAAAGTTTAATAATATTGTAATGTTACCACTGCTTTAGGTTGTAAGTTGAAAATGTTAATAAAATTATTTCAGGTAACATATTATCCTTTAAAATATTGCACATGACAATTAGCACAAAGTAACTATCCAAAGAAAATTATTGGATTTGTTGCCTGCAATACTCATTTGCAATTCTGTAACATAACCAGATAAAAACTTAATTTGTAAGTCATTTAAACTGCTTTCAAATGTCTAAATTTAATTTTTTAATCTTTCAAGAATATTCTTTTGTAGGCTCTCTCTCTCTCTTTGTTGCCTTAACTTTACATTTATAAATACATTTTAGACTGAGTAATTAATTATCTATTTGTATTTACACTGGCTTTACATTCTTTATTTCTATATTATTAATCACAACTAATTATAATAAAAAAACAATATACTTCTATATGTGTCAACTCTTTTTCTTCATTAATTAAATATACCTATAAAAAATCAACTAACACAAAAGTAAACATATTCTAGTTTCCAAATCAAGAAACTCCTGAAGTCGACCCAACATTAACATCACTTATCAGCCCTTTAACATATTTATATTAACTTAATCATCACATCTTAAAACTAAAAAACATATTGGTCTCAAGCCAGCATTATCTTGACCAAAAATTAACATTACAATTACTCTATAAATTGGGTGCTACTTTGGAAGAAAGAGGAAATAAGTAGTAAAGCCATACACTGGGAAGTTGGGGGTATGCCTCTTGAAAAACTTTTGTAATTTTCACTGACAATGGTGCATTCTGATGATAGCTGAGGCCATTTTTGCACCTTTTAAATATTTTTTATACATATGGGAGTGCAGTTTAGGGTGTATGATTGCACCCATCACACTCTCTCTCTCTGCCTACACACACTGAAGCTGTAATCTTTATCTTAAATATAATTCTGACACTGACACTTTGCTAAATCCCAAGAAGACAACTCTTGAACTTAAATCATCACACTAGTCAGCTTTCACCATAATGCAGTACCACCTATAATGATTTCTCAGTTACACAAAAGATATCTAAGTTGTCTTGGTAGAAAGGAAATGTACATACATTACGTTTAAGAGAGGAAGAGGATATTCTTATATAGTTTTAAAACTCTTCAGTACATCATGAAGAAAAAATCCTGTATAAAAACTTATTTAAGCTATACTTGTTATATAATGTTCAAAAATTAGCCTCCATACCTTTAATGGCCAATTACATGCATGTGACTACTTTTACATTGCTAGAAAATTTCACAAGTCTATTAAAAATGAATTAGGATATTTCTTGTTATGTGAAACTAACATAAATAAAATTTAATTTCTTGAGTTGCAGCCTGTGTTGACAGCAGTGTTCCTTATGGCATAGTCAAAAATGGTTACCATTAGTTAATAGATGTAAACGTTTAACAATTTGGTATAACTGTTTAATGAAAATTCAAGTTCCAAACTACTTTAGTGGTAATATTATGATTACAAATCAAGAGTTTCAAATATACTGTAACTTCCTTGAAAGCAAATAAGTTAAGAATAATCTACAGATTTAATACCTGACAAAAAACATTTACTGGCAATATTTTTTTTTCTAAATTTAAATATTTCTAATCTTCTAGCTTTATAGTTTAAATTCAAAATATTTTAAAATTAAATTACACTAATTTTGGAAAAGCCACACAAAACTGTACAATTGTAATGAACTGAATAATAAAAAATCAACCTAGATCTATGATGTATTCTGTCTATATTAATAAGCTATCTAGTTAAAGGCTGAGAAGTGACAATCATTAAGAAATTCTGAGCAAAACCATGCTTCTCGGTTTGTTTGTTTATAATACAAGTGTCGTAAATCTAGCAAACGAGTTTTTTTTTATGCTGGAGCTGACCGTGCGATTGCAGCTTCGATCAAAAGCATGCTAATTATAACGATAATTAAACAAATAAAACACAAAACAATAATCATGGCAAGAAACTACAGCAAGAAAACACAACAAAAAAAGTAAAATCAGTAATATGAACATATTAAAAAATGTATAATTTAAATGAAGACTGTATGTTGTTCAGTGTTGGAGAGTGCTGTTTGATGTGGAGGGTTTCTTTAGTCAAGAATTCCAGGTCAGTATTAGACTTGCAGAGGATAGAGAAATTTGATAGTATAAGTTGATGTCCTGTTTCTTCACTATGTTGCCGTATAGAGGAAACACAGCTGTTACTAAATTTTTTTTGCGTTGACACCTGCTCATTTAACTTTTGGTCTGTTCTGTACAGACAATACTGAAGACGTTTATCTATGTCCCCTTTTTGTTAATAAACAATGTAGTAT